TATTAGTCCATACCATACCAGTCCTAGTACATGTACGGATTACTTCTCTGGACGGTAACATGAATATATGCTTAGATTATATGCATCATCGGAAGGAGGAAGCAGATATTTCTAGTAGAATGCCTCATTTTTTATTGGGCAATGGCATTATGTTACCATTAAAAGTGAAAGTCGAATCCGTTATGCAGATATCTAATTCAAAGTAGCAGAAATCTCTCGTAGAATGACTCGTATAACAATATTATAAGATACAGAATCACGGGCATTTCGGATCGTATCTCATCCTTCTTCGGGGGGTGAAATTGGACTAAGGTGGCCTGCTTGGTCACTTTTCTCCCAAGAAACAGATCTACGATAATCAAAAACGTCAGAGATTTTGCGTATAATAAACTTTTGATATGATCTGCAGTGTCATCCTGCAGTAGATTTGTGTCATTTTGAATTATTTATGTTAGCACATATATTTATATGGAAATATGAATATGATTAAGATTTGTCATTTAAAAGAAGCATGTGACGAAAGTACGGACTCAGCAAATATAGAAAATGCGCAAATATGTTCATATATTTGATTTTCTGTGTAGGAACGTGTATGCTGAATATAGCCCACTTTCGCAAGTATTTTGGATTGTGTCTTTCGCTGCATGTGTAGAGACGGACTGTGATTATAACATCAGAATGTGTTTTCAATGCATTTGTATTGTGTATATTCTTCTGGCTGTTGTGAAAACCGACAATGATTAGCGAAATTTCTGTTCTGTTGTGGTATCGATCAGTCATTCAGCGATTTATTCGTTTATGCAGCTTATTTGTTGTCAGCAGAAGCAAGCATCTGCAGACACATTATACATGATATGCTTAATCAAGCAATGCCTGACGCGTATTGTTAAAATTATTGAAACACACTATCAATATATTTTCTTTCTTTTTTCGAATTTACTAGATTTACAGCTAGGACAGTCATTGCTTGACTGGAAGGTATTGAAGCTCCGCATCTTTTTCTTTGAGAGAAATTCAACGAGCTATTCTTCGTAGTTACCGGCTTACTTTTTTAAGGACCGTTTGATGCACTTTCCACAGTGGGTGGACTTGAAAGGGCAGGACAGCGTGCCGGACACAGTTCATCATGTGGTAAGCATTCTATGATGTTGCTCCTTACTGCGTTCGATCGCATTGAGAAATTGCCTCACTTACTATTGGATCTTTGCATCTCTGGGGTTGTTGAATCCCTGCTTCGTCTTAGCGTTTAGTTTTTTTATCAATGTAAAAGAAATTCTACTTCATGAAAAGCGAAGGAAACAGGAAACATCTTTCTACAGTAATAGCTGTAAAATACTGCTTCGAAAAACTAGCACTGCAAGCTCATCAACTAGTCAGTTTTATTCTATAATAATCAGAGACTCACCGTTTTTCACCGGTTTTTGGTATGACAGGGTGCACATGTAGGAAATGACATAAATTGCCAGCGTACAGTGGTATGTATTAACACAACTTCATAGTGCCGGTGGTGCTAGTAAGAGGCGGGTCAGGAAAACCGGTATCCCAATGGGTACCACACTTCGTTTCCGTTTCATACTTGAATGATGCAAATTAACACCATCTAGAAACTGTTTTGGTGCTCCTTGAGTTAAAACCAAAGTTAATAACAGACTCAACGTGCGAATGCAAATGAACTGTAGAAACATATGTTGAAAAATTGATTTACATGCTGTATTCAGTGTTTCATGGTTGACAATTTATCAGTTTATTTGTTTAAAGGTACATCAGTCGTCGTGTATTAAAAATTATTTGTCAGGTTGTTATGGTGGATCCTCGGAATGACAGAAGTTGGATCAATTTACGTCAACATGTACAGGTACTTATTGCTGACTTTGTTGTTTCTGCATTTACAGGCCGAATTATAGACTGACGGAATCCACTACCGGGATGAGATACGACCCGGCAGCGACAGGCCTGGTAGGAAGCATTGTTTCTGCTTGATGATTTAGGCATAATGGTTTTACTGTTCAGAAACATTGTCCGAGGCAGTGAAAAGGTTGAAAGGAGAATATGTACTGCGCGCAATCAGGAAGAACAAGATGGACCAGTGTTTGATATTCTGTCGTACCAAACTGGATTGCGATAACTTGGAGAAGTTCCTCAGTAAAGCACCTGGTATGCAATGAGGCCTTTTTGCGCCAGAATTCTCGCATAAGTGATTTTCTCACGGCTGATATGTATTTTAGGGGGGGGCTTATTCCGCTGCATTTTGACCGTTTCTGCGGAGAGCCTTGCATCATTGTTGCGTAAACTAGTCATAAGAGATCCAGTACAGCGCTAGCGTCGAAGCACTGCGATCTTCAATCCCGACTATGTCGCTTTTTTTCATCATGCAGTTTTGATGCTTAAGACTCTCTACTTTGTGCGAAAGAAGCATGCGGTTAAGTGATCTGTTGTCATATGGAAATGTTTACAGATTTACTGAAACAGGGATAAATGCCTCGCTATAAACTCCATTGGCTTCTTTAATATATGTATAAGCAATTCCAGACCGAGCACAAAAGACTGTTTTTACATTTGTTATTTTACTGCCAACGTTTTGGCAAAACCATACTGGCCATCCTCAACAACAAACAGTTTTTGTTCTGAGGATAGGTAATCCTCCGTTGTCAGTAGAATAATGAGCGTAACATCAACCTTCTGTGCTGTCAGTCATCGAATGGCTAATATCGCTATTGAAGGTTAAATGTACCAGTAGTTCCTACGTCTGAGTGTGTCAGGAAATGAATGACTCTTTCAAGACCAGGTTTCACAGCCTATTGCACCGTTTGCCTGGGAGCATTTAAGTAGACCACGGTTCCATGGTATTTGAGAATCTGCTGTGCAACGTGTATCTTGCTTCAGTTTGTCCGCTAGAGCTACCTCCAGCTCATCACGAACGATGTTTCAGGAGTTAGTAGTCCTTATATCTACCGCATTACCAGCATAGGCTGTTCGTACCCACAAGTATGTCAAATAACGAATGACTTCTCCAAGACCGGATTTCATGGCGTATTCGCCACCCCCTTAAGGAGTACCAAATTTTGAAACATCGTTCTTGATGAGCGCAACTGAATCTAAGTAACAAAATGATTCGAGATGCATCTGGCATTGCAAGTGTTCAGATACCACTTAACCTAGACAGTTCAAATGCGTCCTTTTTCCTTAGAGCTCTGGGAGTAATGTGATGGCGCAATACGTCGTAAAATTTGGTACTGGTGGTTTCATTTATGTGATTACAAATGTTTCCTTATTTGGTTTAGCAAGTAACTGGAACTTTTATGCTTGTATGCTATTTCTGTGACCGTTCATTCGCAAGTCTACCGTTGAAAGAGGAAATATTCTTCATGTTTAGTGCGATTTAAATAAATTGTTGAAGCAGACAATGAGCAACACTGAACCAATGTATACTTCGAGTACGTCTTCCAGCTTTTGTTCGTTCAGGTAACCATGAATCTGAATTGCCTACGAATGCTAAAGTTGAGTTCGATGACTGTCATACTGAATATAGAAGAATAAATATTATGCGTAGTGACTTTGCGCAGTTTTTTCACTTTGTTTTTATTTAATAAATTTTGAATATTTATGTGCATAGTTCCACTAAACTGAAATTTGCGCCTTACGGTATGGCAGCGTTACTCGTAGGGTTCCGAAGGTGTCTATAAGCAGTATAAAATGTCTATTCAGTAAGGCCGCTAAAATGTCATGGAAATGTGACTTGTTTTAATATAGCCCAAATTTTTTTGGAGCAAGGTGATGCCATGATGCCTACTTTGTTGCAGTCGTAGTTATTAACGTGTTCCTGGTGTATGCGTCTATTTTTTGAAACCTTGCTTACTTTTTATTTTATTACTCAAAACAATCACAAATCTACTGTGCTGTTTTGAATTTATCTTTATGCTTTATTGAAATTTTGCTTCCCTGTTCAAACGCTTAAAAAATGTCCTATGCTGTCCATATTTCGTATCTTAACCTCCCTATTCCTACTTAAAGAACAGTACAGATGCGTCTGTTTGCATGGCGACCGCCGACCGGACGAGAGGAAGCGCAACTTGCAACTTTTCAAGGTATTTTGTCTTTACTTCACTGTCGCTTATGTCAGCTAATCACTGCCCGGCAGGATAAGAAGGCATCTTTTCTGATTTGCACAGACGTCGCTGCCAGAGGTATCGATATTAAGCATATGCCGTATGGTACGTATTGACCTCTAGTACCTTAAGGTCGTTGAACTGCTATTTTGTGTTTAAGTAATTAACGTGACCTTACCTGATGAGAAGACCAACTACCTGCACCGAATCGGACGAGTCGGAAGAGCTGAGAGGTACTGTAGGGTTTGCTTGCCTAGGCTTAATTGAAAAACGTAAATTGCTTCAGGATGGGATTAGCCATTTCTTTGGTCTCCAGCGTCCCGGAAAAAGTAAAAAATATAAATTTTGATTTACGTCTGTTATTGTTTTTGTGATGATTTTTGTTGCTTATCAGAACAACAGGCTGATTAAGGCTGAATTCGTGCTCTTTTGATTTTTCGGCATTAATTATTTTTAATTATGCTTATATAATGTTATGTTTCATATTGTTGGCAAAAATTTAATCTTTATTTAATTTAGCGTTTATATTGTGCAATTTTGGAACTTTTTAGCATTAATTAGTTGTTCACTGCATTGATGAGGGAAGGATATTCATCGTTTACAAAAGGTGTTCCTTGGTTTGTTCAGTTACACTATGGGCTAGTCACCGGCCTCAGGCCGTCCCTATTTAAGTATACACCTTGGCAGTCGATGAACAAGTGAACCTTAGTTAATTTTCCATAAAGGGTTGAATCAAGTTTTTTGTCTTTAAACACACAAGCCCGAGAGTTTAGCCGCTTAATATGATCTGTTGCCTCATCCTTTGGATGACTAAGATTTTTCTCACGGTTCAGTAGATGTTTATTTCCCACTGTAACGGACGGCAGCCACTTTAATCTATAAGACCTTCCTGGCGGCAGTGAGCCACAGATGGATCATGGTGGTGACTGATGTTCTCATTTAAACTCAGATCGTTAAAAAGGCTTTTGAAGGTGTAAGAAGTTAGCGCTTTCTTTGATCCTTATGACAAATCAGGTTCTACTTCTTAACTCTCTCCAAAGTAACATGACAAACATCCATCTCCTCCAGCGATGGTGTGACAAGTTATTACAGAAAAGTTTTTATGCAAAACGTGATTAAATATAAATAATCGATCGGTACAGTGTTCGGTTCTCCGTCACGTTGTTTCCTACATTGCGGTTTACCATAATCGGGTCACCAGGGGACCGGCATTCTCTGCCTGTTTAGTGC